TTATTGTCTTCCATAAGACCTCTATAGAGGATTTACCCAATGCAGGAAGGCTCCCTCTAGGTCTTTTAAAATTCTGTGGGTGCCAGAGCTCTTCTTATACTGTCCATATATTATTCATTGCTCTTCTTAAATGACCAGTCAACCTCCCTTTCTTATCATGTTTTCCAGATGATGTATTCTTTATGATGTTCTTTGCACACAGCTTATTCAGCTTATGTAGGATGGGTATAAGTAGGCCGCGACACACAGCACATATCAATTGCTTTAATTTAAACTGATTTAAAAGAACATGACATAATATAACTGATAAAGTAGCAAATAGACTCTTTTTTTTTTATTACCTGCAGCTATAGGCTGGAGGAATTTTCATACTGCAATAGATAGTACAGAAGCAGTATTGTATGGTGGAAAGAATACAGGCCTAGGAGGTTAAAGACCTAAGTTCAAATCTGGACCCTGACACTTCCTATGTTACTTTGGAAAAGTCACTCATTTTTCTGAGCCTCAATTTCTTCAAGTGTCTATTATGTTCTAAAAAGTACTGCAGATACAAAAAAAAAAAGGCAAAAGACCAGCCCCTGCCTTCAAAGAGCTTACAATCTAATGGATAATGACCTACAATTAAACACTTCCATTTCATATCAATCAATTAATAAACAAACATTTATTAAGTGTTCTCTAATGCAAAAACAGATCCTGCCCTCAACGAGCTTACATTCTAATGTGGAAGACAAAATATCTAAATTGCAGAATTGCCTCATTCTTCTATGAGCTCCTGTTATCAAGGATTTTCTTCCTTCCTTTTTTTGTAGCTTTATTTTTCAGGGAATAAACAGGCACGTGCAAGCTGGATTTTCCGGATCTTGGTTATTACTTCAATTACTGTGATGGCATTTTAGTAAGAAAAAAATCCCTTCACACGCATTATTCTACTTCAACCCCACCCCTTCTCCTCTCACACGGAAGTCACTTGAGCAAGAGTCTGATTTTTCACATTCCCTGGATTATTTTATAGGGTAGGTGGGAGAACTCTCTTGAGGCATATTTTGAAGGGAAAAAGAAGTGTTTCAGTCCTCAAATGTGATGTTGTAAGCCTTCTTAAATAGACATAGTTTATCAATGAACAAATACATGAATGCCTATTACATGGTCAACATAGTATTGAGTATTTTTTCTTAATTGTGTATACATCAATATCAAATTTACTGGTAATTTCTGAAAATTATCTGGACACAAGTATTTTGCTAATCCTCAATATTTAATAACAGCTAACACTGACGTAGTATTTACGGGCATCTAGATGGCACAGTGGATAGAGTGTCAGCCCTGGAGTCAAGAAGACCATTTTTATAAGTTCAAATCTAGCCTCAGACATTTACTACTCAGACTGACCCTGGGTAAGTCACTTAACTCAGTTTGCCTCAGTTTCCTCATCAGTAAAATGAGCTAGAAAAGGAAATGGCAAACCACTCTAGTATCTTTGCCAAGAAAATCCCAAATGGGTCAGACGCAACTGAAAACAACTGAACAACCACACCAAAATTACAGCACTTATTTACTACATGTCAGGCACTGTGCTAAGCACTTTACAAATGTTATCTTGTTTGATCTTCACAACAACCCTGGGAGGTAAGTACTGTTATTATCTCCATTTTGTAGATGAGGAAACTGAGTCAAAGAGAGAACAAACAGCTAGCAAATGTTGGAGACTGGATTTGAACTCATATTCTCTGAGTTTGCAAAGCACTTTATAGCTGTTATCTGTCTCTTGTGATTCTCACCATAATCTTATAGGTAGGCACTGTTATCTTTATTTTACAGGAAAGGAAACTGAAGCTAAGAGAGATGTTCTTAAAAGTAAACTTTTGCTGTCAATAAATGCAATATTTTTTTAAAAGAAGGCAAACTTGTACTAACATGTAAAATTAGAATTATTTTTTCTCTCTGATCAAAGATGAATAATTTATAACTAGTCCAAGAACACTTGAATCTTTGCTGCTGACAAACAGTTTTTTACTTTCAGGAGAATGGAGAGATGAAAGAATGAAATCTCTTCTGCTTTAAATACTTGAGATTCCATTAAAAGAGTGAGTTGTGGAGCACAGAAAATGAGGTCATGCTGGGACCAGGCGCTACTCGAACTCAGAACACCCAAATTTGGTGCCCCTCGAACTTAGCCCTGAAAAATTGGAGGTTGAAATATCCCACCATGGAATAAGTCAGCTCATTTAGACTCCCACATAGACTCACTCTTTTAGAACAGATGATAAAATCAAAATTTCTACAAATACTTTAAATATGAGTATTACCTGGTATCTATCTTTGACATCTGGAAAAAGCACCTTGCTTAGAGAAGCATGAATTTCCAGCCAGGTCTCCAAGATCCCATCCCATAGTTTAAGACAGAAAGTAGGAAGCAGAGTACAGTGGAAAGAATATTGGATTTGGAGACAGATGCTTGGGTTCAAAGCCTGATTCTTCCCATATGATGTGTGACTTTACAAAAGTCACTTGGGGGACTAACTTCTTTGGGACTCAGTCTCTTCATTTGTAAAATGAAACGGAACGGTTGGACTAGATACAAGGGTGGAGAACCTGAGGCCTCGAGGCCACATGTCGCCCTCTAGGTCCTCAAGTGTGGCCCTTTGACTGAATCCAAACTTCCCAGAACAAATCCCCTTAGGAAAAGGATTTGAGGAGGGACAGGGTAAAAGGAGAGAGAGAATAGAGTAAACAGGGAGAGGGAGGAATAGGATGGAGGAAAATACAGTTAGCAACACTAACTGTGAAAAAAGTTTTGAAGCAATTTTCTTTAATAAAGGCCTCATTTCTCAAACAAAAAAAAAATTAGCACCTGCCAAATATCTAGCAAGATATGATCTAATGACTACAATTTATACAAATCAGAAGTTTATAATCTTTCACAGACTGAGAGATAATAACACCTCCCACCTCCCCCCCCATACTATAAATACAGATTTCAAAATATCTTGGAGAAAACTGCTATCATTTACATTGTGCCTACCATGTTAACCAATCAGCTGTACTGGGACTGAGCCCATAATTGCCAGGACCTAGTTGGTCCATAAATACTAAAGGACAACTTTTTAAATAGATTAACTATACCATATATTCATAATCTCCAAGCTACATGGAACAAAAAGCTCTCAAAACATACAGAACCAGCAGAGGAGATCAAAATCATGTAAGAATAGGACAAGGTACACATGAATCCTACATGCTTTCAGAGAACTTATAGAGGATAAATTTACATCCTGATACATTTATTCAACTATAAAAAGCAATTATTTTATCTGGCTGTCTAATAGTCCTTAGAATATTAAATATAAATATAAAATTACAATGCCAGGATATCAACTTCTCCTAGGACTCTCTATCTGAACCCTTTCCCAAATGACAAGAAAAAAGATAACAATAATTGACACTTAAATCTCCTTTTAAAATTCATGAAGCCCTTAATGGACATTCCCTTATTTGTCACAGAGCCAGAATTTGAACACTGGTCCTCTGATATCCCATGTCTACCTGTTTAATTACTCAGTTCCTTTTTTTTTTTTAATTCTACTCTGAGTGGGTCTAGGTCAGAGAGCCTACATCAGAATGCAAAATTGTGAAGGCCAGAAACATGTCTTACATGACTTGCCCAAGGTCACACAACTAGTAAATGTCTGAGGCCAGATTTGAACTCACAAAGATGATTCTTCCTGCCTCCAGAGTGTGCCACCTAGCTACCCCCAAGTTCTGTATAAAAATTAGCTATTATTAAATATTGAAGATTAGCAAAATACTTGTGTCCAGATAACTTTTAGAAATTACCAATAAGTTTACTATTGATGCACACACAATTAAGAATACTCAATACTGTGCTAGACACAAAGCCGGCATTCATATATATTTGTTCATTTATAAACCATATGCATTTAAGAATATCTGAGAGGAGTGCAACTTCTTGGCTATATTTTCCCTGGTACTATTAGTCTTTATCTTCACCCTGTGATACTCTACCCTCACCCCACCACTACCAATTTCACTCTTTAGTCTATAATTTAAAAAATTTTTCCTTTTGTTTAATTTTATTTTTCCTAATATATTTTCCTTTCTCTATAACTATAATCAAATAATCACTACCAAAGGGTATGTGAATGAACTGCTCTATTGTTCTGTTCACTATCCTTGTGACTTTCCCTGTCCTGGTCATCACTTTTCTATATGTGCCATTTTCTTCCATTAGAATATAAGTTCCAAGGAGCAGCTAGGTGGTTCAGTAGATAGAGCATCAGCCCTGGAATCAGGAAGACCTGAGTTCAAACCTGGCCTCAGACACATGATACTCACTAGCCATGTGACCCTGGGCAAGTCACTTAACCCCCATTGCCTCACACACAAAAAAAAGAATATTAAATTCCTGGCTCACTTTTGTATTTGAATTTCTATCACCAGTACTTAGCATGGTACTTGACACATAGCGAGACTTAGTGAATGCTTTTCATTCATTTAGGGTCACCAGTATGGTGAAAACCAAACTGGCATCTCATTGTTGCCTGATTCATGGATAGAGACTGTAAAACGAGAAAAATCAAATATTTCAGCTGCCTTGTTATTCAGAGGAATTGCACTGACCGTGCCCTAAAGGAACCTTACCCTCATATACACTTTGAGAAGCACCCCTGTGATTTGTCCAGTTATAGGCTGTCTGGCCCTATCTGATGGAGAACTACATGATTTTTACCCTCAAGTCTTTGTGAGTAGATTAGGAGTGCCCTGAGCTATTTCCATTGTAAAGCTCTGAGCTAGTCTCGGTAAGGCTTGATACCCAGTGAGGAGGCAAGGGAGGTAGAGCTAAAACCCTTGGAGACCACCCAAAGAACAAAGGTTAACTCTCCAGACCTGGGCCTTATTTAAACTGATCCCCACCGAAGGTTCAAGCTTGGGCTAATAGCTTCATCTTCCTGTCAAGGCCTCCTCATGCTCTGTGAGAGTTCAGCAACCAATAGATACTACAAAACAGGGTGACCCATAACTCTCCAAAATGAGTTTCACTAACAAGCTAAATCCTGCACTCTAGTGTAGACCTGTATGTAGTACATACAGTAAGAACCACCCACCAAAAAACATTTTCCTAAATGTGAATTGATTATCAGTCATTGGTCCTCTTTTGCGAAATGAAACCATGTCCCTCATACAAAGAACATCTTTTGTTTTATTAGCAAGTGAGTGCCAAGTAAGCTAAAATAGGATTCCTCATTTTCCCCAAATATTTTCAAGCACCTCGAGACAAAGCAAAGCACAGCTTCTCTATTATATATTACCAGCATTAAAAATGAAGAGGCAAGATTCCCGGACTCAACAATGCTGAATACTTAGAGAAATAACATTTTTCCCAGTTGGAACTCCATAGAAGTTCACACAACCCCAGGTTCCAGCAAACACTTTATTCTCCCCCTTAATGTTTCTCAATTCAATGAAGCCCAGACAAGGATGGAACTTTCAGCTGTAAGGATGGGGAGAGGGAGGGGAAAAGGACCCTGAAGCAGCATTTCTTCCTGTTTTTTTTTTTTTTGATAAAGGGCCCAACCAAATTCCAATAACTTAGCTGCAATGTCGATAAAAATAAAAGTGGTAATCTGTGAAAAATATCCCAGCAAAGTAAGGGTCTGTGGAGCAATCTGCCAAATCCTGTGAAAGAGGAAGGAAAAAGATATTAAGGTAAGAAGCAAGTCTAGCTAACATACTGTTTTTATTTGGGATTGTTTTTCTCATGCAGACTTTTTGAGATGAGGTAGAAAAAAAAGAAGAAATCCTTACCGGTGCAGCTACTCGGAAATGATACACACTGTCAGAAAATGGGGCTACGGGGAGACTCCAAATGTGCTGACATCCCTAGAGAAGGAATCAGAGAGAGAGAAATTTGATAACCTCATTTTACATTCAATTGGAGAGAAGGATGGGCTGAGGAAGCATTTCTCTGACTCCTGTAGCATGAGTAACTGTGATAACAACCCCTGATAGCCAGAGCCTAAAGAAAGCAGTATACTTCTCCAAGACACAAGGAAAACACTGAATCCAAATACTGTGAATGGGGTCAACCAGGATGGGAGAAAGACTGGCATCGGGCTGATGAGTTTCTCCCTCAACTGTGAACAACAGAGCCCTTCACAGCTTAGGTGGCAATCCTCGGGGAGGGAGAGGGGAATAGGGGGAAGTTGAGGTAGGGGTTGGGTAAGAGGTTGGAAAATAATACAGATTAGCCAAACAGCTCAGTATGGTTTCAGGTTCAGCATTGCCCAGGCAGAATCTGGAGAGACAGACAGACAGACAGACAGTGGGAGAAAGAGAGAACAGAGGGAGAGAGACAGACAGAGAGAAGAGAGAAAGAGAGAATGAGAGAGAGACAGAGAGAGAGAGAAAGAGAGAGATACCTCCTGAATGTTACTATAGCAAAGGTTTAGTCTACAAATTCAAGTAAGAAATACTAACATCCTTTTCTAGCAAAGTTCCAGGGTGAGCACTAAGCCAGGGTACTTAAGGAAAAGAAAAAATATTTATAAGCACCTACTATGTGCCAGGCACAGCAGCTAAGTACTTTACAATTATTTCATTTGATCCTCACAACAACTGCAGGAGGCAGGTGCTATTATTATCTCCATGTAATTGCTGGGGAAACTGAGGCAGAGAGCAGTTAAATGACTTTCCGCCAGTAAGTATCTGTGTCTGGATTTGAGCTCAGGTCTTCTTGACTCCAGGCCGAGTGATCTATCCATTTGTGCCACCTAGCTGCTGCACCAAAATTTAGAAGGATGCTGACAATACTTCGTCTTTCAGCAGCACAGAAACTCATTTAGCACTTAGTTAGCAATAATAATTAGTTAAAATAGGAAACTATTAGATCACGGGCTTCCTCCCCATAGTAATCTTACAAGACAATCTTACAGTGTTCAGAAAACTTCTGCTCCCTCCCTTCTCCCACTGAATTTAAGAAACATTTGTGCTCTACTTGCCCCAGGCATAAAATTGTGAGTTATGACTCAGCAAAGTCATAACTGAATGCTTAATTCAATGTATTAAAAGTTCTCCATTGTCATCAATGGAATACTCCCTCCACAAATTTATGTAGCCAAAAAAATGTCATGACCTAGTGGCTGCCCTTTTGGTAATGAGCCTTACTCACTGAACTTGGCTAGTCTTCTGATAACAGACATACAGTGTGTCGTCAGAAGAGTACTCAGAACATTTTCAGTTTAATATTTTACAGTGAGTGTTCCACCTACAAAATGTGACATGAACACAAGGTATCTTCATTATTGTTAATTATTATAGAATTGCTTTATGAATTTAAGTTAAATCCAATTAATTCCAAGGGAACTATTCGACTGTCCAAATGTTTGTTTTTTTTATTAGAAGTTTATTATAGCCTAGTGCTTGAGGAAACTGGGCTGTTCATTGAACACTGGGAATAATTTTTAAAACATTTTCCCCTTGTAAATGTATTTTGTTGTTATGATATTTGACTTCGTACACACATAATAATTTTGCTTCTTTTCCTCTTGCTTCCCCACCCCATCACCAGCCCCAAGGAAGATAAGGTTTATTACCTAGGGCTGAAGATGGATGAGATTTAATTGTATTTCATCTGGTAAAGAACTATTTCATGAAATGCTATCCACCTCCACAGAAAGAGCTGATGGAATCAGAATGCAGATCAAAGCATACTATTTTTCACTTTCTGTATTTTTTCATGTTTTTTTTTCTTTGGGCCTGTGTCTTCTTTCACAACATGACTGATATGGTAATATGCTTTGCATGATTGAACATGTATAACCTATATGAAACGGCTTACCATCTCAGGATGGGGGTAGGGGAGGGACAGAAAATTTAGAACTCAAAAAAATTGTCTTATAGAAAACATATATAATGATGTATATGTATAACACATAAAATACTATTTTTTAAATGGAGAAATGAGGTTTGAATTGAATCTTGAAATCCATCATTAATGTGTGCTAAAGGTATTTCACTTGCATCCATGTAGAAAGCAGCATATGTTCCTCATGGAAAAACTGCTTAAGGCAATGCCCTAATTAAATAATTGGCAAGGAAAAAGGAATTCTCTTCTACCCAAGAAAACACTACTGACATTAGGCATCATCTCAACACACTAACAGCTAAAATAATTTTTTAAAAAGACTCAATTATAATGTCACATATAAGTTGAGCAAACACCTCAGTCTAGCTCAGACTTTAGCAGTAACCAAGAGTTAGATGGGAAAAGGATTGGACCTATGATTTCATTGGTAAAGGGAATTCTCAGGTGAAGAAACTAAACCTTCAGTGAAACTTGTCAACTCACTGATCTGGCCAAGAGATTAAGTGACTTGCCCAGAGTCACACAGTTACTATGGGTCAGAGATAGGACTTGTAGTAAGGTCTGCCTGGCTCCAAAAGGAGCTATCTTCCCTCCAGGCTATCTCTGAGAGGCATTAAGTGCCTGGTCAGAGAAGTTCCCTCTGTCTCCTCTCACTCAACAAAGGTTAGAAGAGACATTTGTGGTTAGGAAACCTTTGATGGTATCAAGGAAGGACAGCCATGTCTTTCAATAGCAGGACACTTGGTATCTTTGTCAGAAACAGAATATTGGTCAAGATAAGCCATGAATTTGGCCAAGTGGGATCATTCTTGCTGCTGGAAATGGGAAATTTATCTCTTCATCCCCCAAAATGGCCTCCATGGCTCACCATGAGGTAATATAAAAACCATTACCCCCTGACAGTGCAGATATGGGAGACTTATTGGAAGCATTCCCTTCTCCGTTGCTTAGACTATAGCCTTTACTCTCTCCTCAAACTAACAGACTACACTTAAAATCTGGTTTTAGCCTTTCTTAGCACTAGTCTACCACTGACACCCTGATGTAAAGGCATCTTTCTGGGAACTAAGAATAGGACTTTGTGGTTTTGCTTCAGTTCCTCTTTTGTTTATGACACTCTTAAAACCTTACCTTGGGCAATGCTCATTTGTTTTGTGTGTTTCTGGATCTTTTCTAACAGGCTTAGCAATATTCTGGAGATTGGTGCCACCCACACAATGCCACCAAAAGGAGCATCTGGACAGAACCTCACAATCTACATGGATTCTCTCTTCCATTTGGACTCTCGGTTCGATCTCCTCCATCACAATGGTATACCTTATTCTGTTCTATGCCTCCTCTGACATATGATCATAAGGTCATCAAAAAGTTAATTCTGTTGCTCTGTTTTGGTATATGGACGGGACACACCATAAAGATGTATGAATTTGGAAAATCATTCACGAAAGCCTTCCTGTTCCCTTTGAACATGCTTATCTAAGATGCCCTCAATGAATGTGTAGGTGATTCCCAGCATAATATAATGAATACAGTGCTAAACCTTGGAGACAGAAAGACCTGACTCATATGCTAGCTGTGTGACCCTGGAGAAGTCACCAGCTTTCTGGGCCTCAGTTTTCTCATCATGACCTCTCAGATCCTTTCCAGCCCTAAATCTATGATCCTTTGATCATACACATTTTTTTTTCTTTTGTTTTGGCAATTGGGGCTAAGTAACTTGCCCAGGGACACACAGCTAGTAAGTGTCAAGTGTTTGGTCTGAGGCTGGATTTGAACTCAGGTCCTCCTGACTTCAGGGCCGGTGCTCTACCCACTGTGTCACCTAGCTGCCCCCGACTGCCACTGGATTTCATAGGTTGCATGACTTATGTCTTGCCACTGGACTCTGATGACTCTGGAGGAGAGAGGGAGGCTGATGACTTTGCAGGGCCCTGCCTCACTTAAATCTGATTCACTTGCAAGTCAAGACATCGCCCTCCTGATGTCATTGGTCCTCTTCGAGAATGAAGGATGAACAACAACCAGGTTGCATAAAAAATAACAATAACAACCATCCCCACAACAACAATAAACAAAAATTTATATACAGTTGCATTCTAAGGTTTGCAAAGCACAAATATGACCTCATTTAATCCTCACAACAACCCTGGGAGGTAGGTGCTGTTATTATTCCTGTTCTGCAGATATGAAAACTGAGGCAGACAGAGGTTAAGAGACTTTCCCAGGGTCATACAGCTAGTAAGTATGTGAGGTCACATTTGAACTCAAGTCTTCCTGACTCCAGGTCCAGCTCTCTATCCACCAGAAAAAAAAAAAGGATACAAACTTATAAAGACCAGAGGCACCCGTTCCACTTTGATTACGTATGGCAGCCACATCCTTACAGCTGTGGTGGCAGAAAACCAACAAGAGGAAAATGTGGGGTAAAATTCTGGAGGCACAAATGGCCTATTCCAGAACTGCTCAGGAGTGATTTGTGGCAATAGGCATTATATTCTTGTGATCATATTTCTTATAATGTTCCCTACATACATTATTAATAATAGCTTATATTCATAGAGCACCTTAAGATTTGTACCATGCTTTATATATGTTATCTCATTTGATCTTCACACCAACCCAGGGGGTGAGTGCTTTGATTATCTCCATTTTACAGATGAGAAAACTGAGGCTGAATGAGGTTAATGACTTGCTACGGTTATGCAGCAAAGTGAGCTCTCTCAGGCAGAATTTGAACTCAGATCTTCCTGACTCCAAGTCTGGCACTCTATCTACTGTGACACCTAACTGCTACCACCTTTTTAAAATACAAAAAAGACTATTTTTGTTTTAGGGCACAGAGCAAGTGAGGCATAGACAGTTTAAACTACCTGCCTCTCTTGTCTAAATAGAACAGAAATAGAATGTAGAACTGAAAACAGACCTAAGAATTTTGACTTATGGTCTGGTCCAAACTATACTTTGTGGTCTGGGTTGTCTGCCCGACTTTCCAGGTCAAACCCACAAGTATCCGACT